CTCGGCTAGAAATCTGTTTTTGCACTTTGCATCTTAAAAATATAGTTTAGGGACCGGAGAAATATTGTAACTAATGTTAGCTATTTTGATCGAGATTCGTCGCATTTTGGAGTCTGATTTTGGGGGTTTGAAATTTTCGCTAATATAGAATATCACCCGTGAATGACCTTGCTGAACCTAAATTCCAAATAAAAGTGCCAACACGTAATCGTGACATATAGATACCCATGTTTGGAAAGTAAATGGAAACTTCATCCCTTTGCGCGTGTTTTGACTGATAATTCGTTCATAAACTCGCGAAATAAGTACGTAATATTTCTTCATATTATTTCTGAGCTGTTTGATCTGTTTGAGCAAATTTCCAACTCAATACTCAATAGTTTGAGTCTATCTCGAGTTGCGAAAATATTTCATTTGCTTCGCAAAGCACTGTATGTAAACAAACGCATAATTTTGAGACCGACTGCACTTAGTTTGAGACCGACTGGATCATTTCTCTGGGGGGGTGAACCACCCCACACCCCCCACATTTACGCCCCTGAATATGATAACAGTGTTTCCAAGTTCATCCCGGGCTTTAAGGGATATTTATATAAACTCGAAATTCATAAAAAAAAAAATTAGGAGGAAATATAAAATCCATAATTTCATTATAGCTATCTATAATTGGAAGAAATGTTTTCATCTTTGAACCCAGATTTTCATCAGAGCAATAAAATCCCGCTTATTGGATCCTGGCCAAGGGCTTGCACGCTCAAAACGAGATTGCATGTATTCTGCAATAAGCTGTCCTGGCTTTGGTCTGGTAAAGTTCTACTTCTCGTATTTGAACTATTTCATGTATTATATTTATATTGTGACATAAGTTGGTATTTAGCCACTATCTAGAATAACAAGGAACGATTCAGCCTGGTTTTTTGTGTCCACACTAGTTGACTTTTTCTTATAGATTTGCTGCTGTGAGTTTCAGCTTCTCCATCAGGGTGCGTTTTAGCTTCTCAGACATGACCATACTGTTAACCCTGTCCATGAGAGGGATACATGTGTTGATAATATAAATACTGTGGATCCTAATGAGAATATCGAATAAGTAAATAAATACTGATCTACTCCACTGATAATACCTACATACATTACCATCATTGTTCACCTCAAATCATTAATAATTCATGAGCAAATTAGCCAACCATATTGCTTTATTTTGCTCACATGATAATACTGGATACGTTATGAAGTATATTGATCCTGTAGTGGCCTAGGACTGGATAAAAATTAATTAAGTAGTGATTTATTCGTACATGAGATGTCATTTCAAATCCTCCAATTCGGACTGGACTAGATTTCAAGTCCTCACATTTTGATCCAGTCTTCTGCTTCGCCTCGGACGTGATCAAATTGCGTGTACTTGAAATCTAGTCCAGTCCTCATAGTCGGATTTGAAATATTATCCATTGTCAAATCAGATGCCAATGGTGGCCAAGGAAGATTCAGTTTTGGTATTTCTTGCACCTTTTGGTGAAGAATCAATGCAGCATTGTATAGAATTTGTAACTCATTGACTTTAGAATTTCCCTCAGTTTCTGTGTTGGAATTCACATCATCATCATCAATGGTACAGCTCTCTTCCTCAAAGTTCTCATCATTGTTTTCAGACTTAGGGCCTGTTTATATGGAAGCCGGGCTGGCCTGATAAGCGAGACAGCCTGGTAAGCAAGATCTCGCTGTGTAGTTATTTTTATAGTAAAAATTATCATGCGTTTATATGGACAAGCAGGCTGGCCCGGGTTGCCGAGATCTTGTTTGAAAGAGGCTAGATCTCGCTTATCGGGATGGAAATTTCTCCATATAAACATTTACAAGCAGGCTATCCTGGTTGCCAGGATGAAAGTTCAAAGATACCGCCGCAAGCTATTTTTAACAACTGTCAAAACAATACAATGTAACAAAATTGTCCTGGCAAGCGGGATGAAAGTTTCTCATATAAACACAAGAGAAATTCATCCCGCTTACCGGGCTGTCTTGCTAAGCGGGCCATCCCGGCTTCCATATAAACAGGCCATTAATTGACATATGTTCCTCAACCAATTCAGAAGAATCCAAATTTTCCACATATACAATCTCACTGACATTTCTCATTCTCGGTACACAGAACACAAGTTGGGGATAACTTTTCATCAGTCGTTGCTTGAGTTTAAAAGCTCTATATTTAGATGCATCCACATTCTCAGTGTCCTTAGTAATGATAACAAATTTCTCCAGCAAATCTTTCATATACTTTATTTGCTTATTTCTGATGACCTCCATCTCAATTACTTTCTTACAGAAATATACATCATAAGACTTCTCGTACACTGATGCTCTCGTTGCTTCTTCGTCTCTCTGGTGAGAAATATTGTATATAAATTGCAGTAGCAAACTTTGTGATAGCGGATTTCCAGAGCTACACAGTCTTTCCCCTTTCCATTCTAAGTTAATGGTATCAGGATTCTTCTCCATGTATGAATTGACAGATCCGTCATCGATGTTCTCGTACGATTTCTTAGCTATTTCAGCTTGTTGACATTTAAGTTTGGCCCATTTTGACCTGCACTCAAGAAATTTCTTAAGCCTTTGGCGTGTAACTTTGCAAAGTTGCTCCGTAACGGCATCAAAATGCATAAAACATGAGGATATTCGAGTTTTATAAATATCTTCAGCCATGTTTATTTGCATAACTGAGCGTGTTTCCACTTCGAAGCATGTGCGTTCGTTGTGCGCGTGCGCAGTGCGAGTTTGGGTGAGTTGCGCATGCGTATTTGCTATCAAAACAATGGCGGTTCGAATATTTCGAAGCGCGAAAATATCAAACTTTGGAGGGATTTTTCTCCCAATTGTGCACCTGTTTCGCTTGGGGAGCAACGGATCCTGATAAAGTAAGTTTTTATCTATTTATTCATGTGAAAATTACGTAGTTCCACGAGGGGTGCAACGGAATCCGTTTTCTAAGCATCTTTTGGATGCTCATCCCACGGCCTAGCGCTAAAGACCATGTAATTTACATTCGCCTTTGTCTTTGAGGATCAATGTTATTGGTGATGACCACGTTGCCGTTGCCGTTGCCGTTGTGTTTGCCAAACTCCCTATTATTTCTATAAGGCTTTGAATGGTGTCTGAATAAAAGTGTACCAAAGCTGTAACAGAAATTTCACAACCATGAAAGCATTGGTAGGCTAGAAAATGAGGCAAATTTGCATGAGATTTAAGACAAGAAGTTTGAAAAAGAACTCAGACTTTGCCCCACAACCCAAATTCCATCCCCACCCTAACATTTCGCGAACAAATTCGACAATGCCTTGTAACCAGGCCTGATAAAAGATGGTGGTCTTCAAATGCTAAAGTTAGATTATAGACTTTATAAAATAAATCAACCGAAACCAAACGCCGAGAGTAAAGTCTAAACACATACAGTACTTAAAGATGATGTCCACTCCTGTGCACATGCGCGAACTTTGTTTACGTTTTGAACTGCTATATATTTGTAAAATATGATATACTAACAGAATATCTAACACTTTTCTGGTTCGCTATGCTTGTAAATGAATATAAACTCTACGTTTCAATTCAAAAAGTTCGAAAGATGCAAAATTTGGGCAATGTTTATATCTGGGGTTCCCCCTTTGTTATGAGCAGAACTGATGCGCAGAACGGAGTGGACATCATCTTTAACATTTCACTTAAATTAGCCAAAGAGAAATTTTACTGATTAATAATCATTACTGACAACTGACCAAATGCATTTTCAGAACAAAAGAATACATTATAAAGCGTCAATTCGCGCTAGTAGTGTTTATCTATAGACCTTTTTCGGAGAGGATTCACAAGAAACGTTTTAAATGTTCGTTATTTAAAGTGCTCTTGGAATAAAATTGAATTAAATTTTTTCTTAAATACATAACCTACATTTATAGTACGTATATATTCGTCGACAACTACAGCAAAATTGTCGCACAACACATGTGCGATCGTAAACGATTTACCGGATTCCTTCCCGAAGAAATTGAAACGACACCAAGCAAGACCTTTGGTTCAATTTCGCATTATCCAGTTCCTTGGATACTTACCAGATTAACAGAGAACATATCATTATTTAAACTTAGAAAGTATATTATGTAAAAACTTACGAGCTGCCATGAAACGCCACGTCAAACCAGAAAGCAAGGCCGTGGACATTACCAGCCGTCAAAGCCGTGAAGTTCAGTGGAATATGAATTCTGAAATGTTGAAATAGAAAAAATCAGCAAACATTGGGGAAAACATTTGGTAGCACTGTCGTGCTGCCAACATCAGCGAGCTTCAGATTAGGCTTCCACGACCGCTACCACAACCTCTCACTGGATTAGCACGCATCTGATTGGTTAATCAGATATACCAAACACATCTAATTGGTTAATGGTCCCTTAATGGTAGCGGACCTTAACCTTTCTATTAAGAATGACTAAAAGCCCATTTACACTATACGGCTAGTCACGATTGTCATTCTGGCGTATGAAAGCGACTGCTGACGCCACTATTCCTGGGGCCGGTTGTATAAAAACGTCGTTAACTTTAACTATGATTAGCGTTAATCACTGCATGTAGTTAAATCCTTAACTATGATTAATTAACTACACGACTTAATTGCGTTGCACAAAACGTAGTTTGTCAGATGATTAACTAACCACATAGTACTAGTTAACATGTATGGGGCTTGCGTGGGGCGTTTTAAACACAAAATTACATAAAGTAAGCAGCGATTAACGACCGCCAACAAGCATTTTTAACACGAATTTATATTTGCAAATAGGTGGGAATTTTATTCAAAACAGTGAAAAATAAACTAGAAAACAAAGAAAAAATCAACGAAGAAAGCCAATTTTACTTGAGATGTCTACGTTAAACCAAAGTGTAACTGTTTGGCAATTATGTATCATGTTTCTTCGTGTAATGGGCCCTACGTCGTCTTCGAGAAATCTTCCCGTGCAAAAATATATTTTGTTAATTTCTTTTCGCCGAAAAACCCAAAGCGATAGCGTTGGAAGAGTTTATATTGTCAGAAAACATTCACAGGGAAGACAGCGATTGAAAATCCCAGGTAAGCATTACTTTTCATTGTTGTTTTACTAAAAAATGTTGTTCCCTCCTATACAAGCGCCATTTTTAACTACGTTTTGAGAAATTAACGATACCCTAAAGCATCGTTAACTTTAACTACGTTTTAACTACAGTTAACGCTAACTACTTTTTTATACAACCGAGTTAACTACTGTACGTGATTAAAATTAACCACTATTTAACTACAAAATAGTGATTAAAAAAGTGATTAAGAGTTTTATACAACCGGCTCCTGTTCATCAGTTTATGGCAAAAATATTTGAAATGTGACATCTTTCAACGCTTTTATTCGAGTACATACGCCAGAATAAGAATCGTATACGACTAGTCTAATTAAATTCTACGTTTTGAAGGATGTTTAATACTAACTCAGTTACCTCAAACATTTCTTAAAAATCTTTCACAGGTACAGTAGTTAGCGTATTATATGGTGTTATCCCTGCTCGCTCTTTTACCGTATACGTACCTGTGTAAATCCTCTTCTGCGCTAGTTAAAAAGTTTATTGCATGCGTTATAGGTTTTGCCAGCAAAATCTGTACGTCAAATGTATCCTACAAAATATGAGGGGGAAAATTGCTCGTAAATTATTCTGCGTATTATGAGACCATATTCTGAGTTAATACATTCAGCATCGGGTTACTCGTAAATTACCTACTTCTCGTTGCTAGAAACGTCCTTGTTATATAGCTACAGGGTGAACACCGCACGTGATTGGCTTATTTGTGGTCACGTGGTTTTAGATAAATGCAATGTATCCCGCCGGATAACAAGTGAAAAATTGTAGCGCGCCCCGATTTTCCAAGTTTGTGTTAAAATAAAAAATGTAAAAGAGAAGAAAAATACACAACAGGCAACAGGATATGCTACTGAAACCGTTTAAGTAGGTTCTTCTAATTTTAAACTCGTTTACATAGAGTTTTTGTCATGAAATACAATTGTTGCCTGAATATTGTTGATTTTTCGTTCGGAGCTATGTTTTTCACTGAAAAACGTACCGAAGTCAATCATAAACCAAAGTTTATATAGACAATAAACTGTATTGTATAAAAGGATATCTTACTACAATAGGTTGCTTGAAGTATTCTTCCACTGCTTTTTCTCGTAGCTGCGTAAGATTGACTCCATAAAACGAGGGTTGGAACCTAAAATGTGCAATTGAGATTACAATCTGTATTGAAATGTGTTTGCAAATCCACTTTCTCTTGAGTTCTGGAGAAATATAATGGGAGATATTTATTGGTGCCGCAGCCACAAAAAAAACACCTACTAAATACGGCTTCCCGTTAAAGTAACAGCACTACAAAGACAGATTGGTTAAAATGACCAATAAATTGGTTAGCACAGATTCAAAATTAATCTGAGATAACCAATTACTTGGTCGCTTTAACCGATTTGTTTTTTACAGTGAGAGCATTACATTGTAGTTTGAATCTGATATCCGTTCATTCATTTACGACGAAAGCCGGATTTTTGTGGGAATAGTAGAAAAAATTTTGGGTGAGTGCAGCTGTCTAGCCCACGGCCCCCCATGGAATGTTACGGTTTAAAACCCCTCTATACGGTGAACAACGTGATGTATGTATGTACTGTAGATATGTATCAGTGTATTTATAAAATATGACTGTACAACTCATCCAATTTTGTCCTTCGTTACATTACCACGTTTCTTTCAAAACATTGCATCACAAGGGTACTTGACACAGAAACGAATGGCTATCACTGTTTCAATTTTACAAAACCCTAACCAACTCATAAAAAGTTGTCAAATTTTCACTTTGAACTATCATTTTAGCCTTTCCCAAGGGGAAGTAAATAACTTTTCACTTTATTATTATAAACAATACCTTTTTATTTCACACTTGCTGGACTATTTGTCTTAAATATTGTGCAATTACGTATCGTATATGTATAGATAATAGTATGGTTTCGAGTGCAATTTGAGCGCGGAGGAAAGAGACAGTGCACGAGGTTGAATGACTCGACGGCCATATTGCATTTTTGCTTGAATCAGCCATATTGGAGTTTTGCAGATGGCAGACTATTATTAATTTTTAAATGCTGTAAACATTTTTTTAACAAAAACGAGAACAATGACACGTTAGCGAACTGTTAACACCTAATATGCGGTCAAGACGCAAATATAATACCATGCATCTTTGCAAACCTGAACCTTTTAGAAAGTAATTTTTCCTCAACTATTATTTTAAACAAAAAGTGTAAATAGTTTAAACATATTCTCCGACTATTTTATCTTTTTAATAACGTTTTCTATATATCAATTAATCAGTTGATTTTAATAAATTTAAATCTTAAGTATAAAACACTACATTGGGGACAAGTGATCGGAAGTCTAAAGATAAACACATTTCTATAAAGTTACATAATTTGAGAATGAATGCTGAATTATGAGAAATTGCTTACCAGAAGTTCGCTTTGGAATAGTGCTCCATATATAGTGCGTCATCCATGAACGGTGCTACGTACATGTTCCCTTGGCTGGGAAACATTTTACCTAAAAATAATGCAGTACGTAATCAAAATTACATTCCATCAATGGGAACCTATTAAAAATCCTTCTTTTAGGACATTCGCAAAAAATCCCGAAAATTCAAAATTGCACCCCCCTGTATGCAGAGAACAAGTCAATGATGTCAAATCAACAATAGCCATGCAAAACTCTAAAATTCAAACCCCCATTAGTTGCGTCGTGCTATATGGACGACCCCCTAACAGAGCTTCAAAGGGAACTGAAAATACCTACATGTTTATCTTTATACTGTATGTCCCGAAAACCCGACCCGAATAAGGCTAAAAGCAACAGTCGGTAGACTGCCAGTCTTTATGGCTGCTCAACTTGATTTTAGCACGCCCAAACGGTATCGACAGGTCATTTTCCAAATGAGTAAAACAGCGCAAATACTCTTCAACTGCAATTACTCTAGTAAATATTTACGTTTTGCACAAGAACAGTGAAATTGCGTACTCGTCAAGAAATATACAGTCTTTCTCTAACAACATTTCAGAAAAGATACCGAATAATTTGAAATTCTATCGACAGTCTACTCCATTTACTGTTCGAAGTACTCCACATTTTCGGAACATTGATAGAATCGAACCGAAAACGCTCACATGACTGTTCCCGTGTTCCGTCTACCCAACTTTTGAGTATTGGCAGCCAGAACAGTCATGTGACAGTGTTCTAAAAATCCGGTGTACTCCGAACAGTAAATGGACAGAAGTGTACTAACTTGTCAGGCAAAACAGTGACCGGTCAAGAACATTCTTGGCAGGTCATTGTCCGTTGAGCCCTTCACCGGTCGTAATTTTTAGCCCTGCGAATATGATTCGGGGTTTGTTTTATTGTATTCTGTACGCTAATCCAACAACGAGAAATGTACTGAAGTTCTGAACGCTTGTAGAAAGGATAAATTGTTGTTTAATTTGTTGTTCTCAGCTTGATTGTTGTATTCAATACGCAATTTCAAACGTGTACACCTAAGTTGTCACGCAGTTCAGTGCAACAAAACGTATTATCAAATTTGAAATTTCAACGAGTCTTAACGCTTTCAGTGATTTTAATCCATTAAGCGCGCCAGCGCTCTCTCTTCGACGAGTAAATCGTTTGGCATTAGACAATTGTAGGGCGCGTTGGGGGCACAATGCCACTTAATAGGTTAACTATATACAGTCACATGAGCATACATCTGCAGCGAGGAGGATGCGGCGAAATGTTAACTGAAGTGATGATCTGAAGTGATGATATCATCATTGAGGGTAATATTTCCCCCGAGCGGAGTGTCTACAAAATAATGATATATTTATATCGAAAAGCATATACAGCCTCCAAGTTGAAAATAGAAAACTTGCCACATACCTTCGTGAATGCGGTATTTTATTTTTGTGATTAGCGCAAGTATTTGTCACATTTCTTTCGAATGACACATCGTTTGAATTTTGATGATAACATTTTTCCAAATTTTTGTATATTTTGTCGATTTGTTTGCGTGATCGCCGCGCGTGGTTTACGCGAACCAAATCACCCGGATACGCCTGAAATCACCCGCTACGTCAAATACGAGACTCGTAAGGCGTGATGCGATGATAGATTTCATGCTCACGTAGCACAAACTTATTGGACACTTTGAATTGCTTTCTGATTCTGATTGGACACTTTGAATTTGAGGTATAATATAATGGCTTAAACATTTTCAGGATTAAGAAGTGAGCGTGTTTAACAAACTTTACCTTCAGATTTTAACCATTTCTTAGCGTGTAGGAAACTCTCAAGCATTCTCTCGTTTACCAGCATGTACCCCATTGGTTCAGATATTATCATGTCAACCTTTTCGGGAATGTCGACCTACAAAGGATACATCAAGTTCTTATCTTATCATTAGGCCTGACAAAAATATCACGAGGTCCCGGTTTCCAGACCGACCTTATTTTTTCTATCGACTGTAATGACGAGCCTTTTCCTTACCGAACCTTTTCGTTGGTCGCTAAATAATACACCGTGACAGCGAAAAGGGCGTCAGTTGTCATAGGCACTGTATTGCTTCTTGAAATGTACATGTTGTGGTAATACCAACTGATAACACCCACGGCCATTGGTGACCAATTTCAAGCCAAAAGAAATTCTTTAAAAATCGTCCGGGCATGAAACCGGAATTCCAGAACATTTTTTGTTAATAGGCCTGTCTAGCTGTGTAACAAAGCCGAGACAACAATTTTCAGTTTTTGTTTTTTAATACCATTTGGCATCAGCTATCGTTGTTTACGTTCCAAAAGTTCACTTTTTGAGAAGCGAAATGACAACTTATATCACATCTTGCATGCAAATTGCAACGCCAATTACGTAAACAAACACGTTCTACTTTACGGCTTTTCCCGCGGTTAGTTGGAAAACGATATGATGTTTAAATATACGAACGTAAACTGATACCAATAATACCGACAAATATCGAGCAACCGGTATTTATAAAAACCCTATAATTTTCGGTCTATCGATATACCGCAACAACGTAGTGCCTGGAGCATTAACCTGAAGTTCAGGCCCTATCACAGAATAGGGCCTGACACAAAACCTATCTAAGGCCCGTTTCATACGTCGCACTATCGTCGAATTTAATTCAGACGAATTTAATTGAACTAATTAAATGCGACGTTAGTGCGTCGTATGAAACGAATTAAATCCGTCTGATGAATTAAATTCGTCCAAGACGTTGTATCCGTCATGGTCAGACGCGGATACAACGTCTGTAGCGCGTCTTCGTTTCATACAACGTGTTATCGTCGTGTCGAATTAAATGTATAAATTATGTTTAAAGTCTGTTTCTCTCTTTCTGGTCTCGTGGTTTTTTACTTCTGGGTAATCCATGATCGCTAGACATGAAATGAATTCGTCTGAATTAAATTCGTCGTTTGAAACGAAACCATTTTAGTGTCGACCAATTGACGAATTTAATAACGAATTAAATTCGTCTGAATTAAATTCGACGTATGAAACAGGCCTAAAGTGTGGGATTCCCGTCCACCTGGTGGACGGGAAATCTGATTGCTTGATCAGCATCATGAAGGATTTTGATTGGTTGCAAGTTCACATAAACAACAGTTTTAAAAATAGCTCGGTCAAGGCGAGAATTAATATAAAGGTCAAACGCACGTAACAAATTCCATTATCGATTGCTTCGAATTTCTTTTCTTTTATGCTTTATGGCAGAAAATAAATCAAACAAACAGTATTTTGAAAGGGCTTCATCAAAATCTTTGACGAATTTTGGACACACACGACGCTGAAAGAACAGCCAAACTAGTCATGTATTCGACAGTTGTTGTTGACAGCCAAGATGTTCTGCCTTTTAATATCAGGTCCTACCGGCGTTGTTTTCTGAGCTACATCGCCTTCTTCGTGGTATGATTGAGAATTTAATTGTTGCTGTTATTAGTCCGTTAGTCGTTAGAGTATATCCGCGTCCAGCAAGTTCAGACCTTGAGAAAGCTTGGCAGTCAAGTCGTGCACAGAACTGACTAATTAAATCTTTGTTAATTGCTGTTCCCCTGTTCGGTTAAATAGAGAAACTGACTCTTAATTATATAAAAGTACCTTGAATTTTTAAGTTTAATTAAAAAGCACAATGCTCTGCGGACATGTTCATGAGAATATGTGTAACGAAATCTACAACACTTGTCAATCGTATTGCATGTGTGTCTAAAAATAACATGTGGGCGTCCGACGGTCTGGACAGGTTTTGTGTCAGGCCCTATTTCAAACTAGGGCCTGAACTTCAGGTTACTGGAGCATGTGCATAACAACTGCACAACAAGCACGAAGACATACTACTTTTAAACAAATACCAAGGCTTATGATTTTGAACAAACTAACAGACTAACAAACTCACGCAGCGTCTAGAAGGCGCGATGGCAAACTTCGTTTGGGCACCGCAATCTCCAAATTAAATAGTGTGCGCATGTATTTTGCACAGCAACATACCTCTTCTAGCTTTCCAGCAATAACATGTAGTTTGTCCGTTAAACCATTAGCTTTCGCCAATGCCTACAAAGTAAATTTCGGCATTATTTCCGGCAAAACAAACATAACAGCTCTACTGTATCAGCTAAACCCCAGAATAGAGTAGTTAAGATACGGCTTGCGGCCGGATAGAAAAAACCCTATCCAGAACACCTTTACATCTCTATACTGTAGATATTTAACTTTCTAGTACTAATTTACTATACCGACTACATGCACATCACACAGCAGTGACGGTGGACCTATTGTAATCCACAGTGGATTACAATCCATACGTGGGTGCACTCAAAGAAATGTTAATGTATGATATTACCTCACAATGCATTGCCATCGTGCTTGCCTCGACAGCGTACACTTTCTTTGCTCCAGATTGAATAGCAAAAAATGACAAAATGCCTGAAAAAATGACAACTTTGTTTGAATATGGCAATTCTTGACTTGCAACTACTTGAACATCGGCCATGTTGGTGATATTTCAACAAAAGAATCTCATTATTTTTCATTCAATTTGGCACCAACATGCAGGGGCTGCGAGGGGGCGTAACGGGTGGAACCAGTATACATCTAACTGACAGGGCAACTAATTAATGCAGTGTGATTGATGCAAACATATATATTGAAAAGTATACCTGTGCCTGCACCAACATCAAGTACAACCTATTGCAGAAAGAAAACAGACGTCAGAATATTTGTTAATTCTTCTGAGAAAAAAGTAACTAACGGTTTGTTGCCGTGCTCGTACGATTGTGCGAGCTTTCATTGGAGTGCTTTCATTTGTTGCTCGGCTCCGGATGGATAATTACACTATTCACCTTCCACTGGAAAACATTTTCAAAATCCATAGGTCGCAGAATGGAAATTGTATGGAATTTTATGGGAAATAGAATGGATTTTTGATTATCCATAATAATTGTATATTTACTATACTATGTCTATACCAGGGCTTTCAAAATAACCCGGCGGCCGCCGGAGCTCCGGCAGGTGCCACGAGGTTTACCGCCGGTTACTTTGTTTAGTACTTGAAATATCAATTCTGCTCTCCTTCCTCCACTCTAAGCTTTCAAGTTATTTTTCATCAACCTGGTCTACTTTATAGCCTGGTTATTTTCGAAAACGGCATACTATTTCGTAAAACCGATTTAGTTATTTGCCACCTTAAATCTTGAATTTATCTTGTTGAAGAATGAAAGTAGTGATACATTATAATTTGGTTACAGAGCTCAGTTGTGTTGCTATATCTAATCAATATACACTAGTTAATATAGAAGACTTTAAGATTTAAGACTCCCTAGACCACTCCCTCCCAACAGCTGCCTACTTTATCAAAACATACACCTACTGAGAATAATCCTGAAAGCCCTGTCTATACTATACATAGTTTATATTTACTATACAGTCCATCTATCTATCTATTTTATATCCATAGTCTATACTATGGATATAATATCGAAATAGTTTGGATACACTATGGATTTAGTGGTGCAATTGCAAATTTCATAGTATGGATTTCACATTCTTTTTCTCAGAGTTCGGAGCAAAACAAAATGGCTTCCGATTACAGACGAGCAAATTCTTGTACTAAACGAAGCTGAGGTCACGCCAAACACGAAGAAAGCCACAAAGTTTTGTTTAAAAGTGTGTGGAGGTACTGTATTCTTTAAAGCCATAAATATCCGGTGAATATGCGGCGAATATCCTTGCACTACTCACATCCACTTCCAATTCGGTGAATAATTGTTAAATATTTGTCTGCATAACTGCAAGTTTTTTTATCTTTTGTTTAATTCGTTTTACAATTCATTGCATTATTCAGTTCATGCAGCGTCCATTTAGTATTTAACTGAACCTCGATACAGACAAATTTTCTGTAATTCTAATGCAAGTGAAACTTTTTGATTCTTCTCCATGCATAATACCAAAGAAAATCTAGGGAGAGGCAATTCTTACACAAAACCGAAAACAGGCCAAACAAAACAAAACAAAACACACGAAAAAACCGAGTGAATCAGGGTTTTTTAACACGTTTAAAATTACACTCGAAAACGTGCACGCCACCACTCAAAATTCACTTCCATGCAATCCTTTCAGTTGTTCAAGCTCGAATCCAACCTCTGCCATCTTAAGCCACTATTACAAAGTCATGAAATATTAATTTCCTGGGGGTGATTTTGCTAAGCTTGCTTTCTATATATTATTAATAATGAAATTTATTGTAATACTGGTGGATTTTTTCTCTGTTTCTGTTCTTCATCATATGAAAAAAAACCTGCTCATACGTAAATTCACTAAATACATGTAGCTTTCGCATTGACCCTGGTAAATTAGCTCTCACGCATTTTCAGAAATAGCTATTTCTGAAAGCTAGCACCCATTTAATAGTATTATTAAATTTCTACAATAATCTGCAAATCCGTGAGCAAATACAAGACTTACACGGTGTGAAGGGTATACAACTAACCGAGAAACATAAGCAGAACATCAAAATAAAACAATAGTCTTAATATTTCCCACTTTAGATTTCAATGGCATCCATTTATAAGCACTAATAAAGTACAATAGCATATATACTGAGGAACATGAACACATTGTTTACCTTATCCTTGAAATCAACTTCGTTTTGAAGCATTGCTTTTTGATATGTAGATGTTCGAACATAGTCCTACAGAAGAGAATATAAGGGAATGTAATCCACGTTGATAAACAGCACATTGCTCTACTGTATACGCAGTTATGAGATATGGGAATTAATATGGTCTTCCACGATTTGGTTTAAAGTGCAATGCAACAACTGTGCAAAGTATATACCGTCGTCTGGACCACATAGTGTATTGTTTTGGTATTGATTCCATGATAGCCTGCGAACAGGCTCTCAAGCTGAATTGAGAGCCTGCATCGATGACTAATGAATTTGGATATCTGCGTCTCAAATCGTGACGCGAAATTCTCATTGGTCAGATGCTATAATTTATATGTTTCCGCTGAGCTCTATATATGTTAACTGCTGAAGCACTATGCATAAAAAACACATTAACTGATCAAATTGGTCTTGGTCATCTTACCTCAAAGCACGAAATGTTCTGTTTAAACTTGAACTCTGTTTGAACTTTTGCTTGAATATCTTATATTTCGAAAAACAGTATAAACTGCACCGTCTAAATTTAGTTTGCACGGTCTAAATTTAGTTTGCACGAAAGTTGTAAACAACACCATATAAAGATAGACATTCCATATTTGGAAAAACGAACGTCACGGGGCAGATATTCAAATTCATTAGTCATCGATGCAGGCTCTCGATTCAGCTTGAGAGCCTGTTCGCAGGCTAATTCCATGACGACGTCAAGTGGAAATTTCGAGTGTTATTCTTAATTTCTTACACATTTATTAGACCTAACCAGCAGTTAGGAATACAATCATGCATCTCATATTCTCATTGGCAGGTGACGTCATCCCTTTGCTATTTAAGAAGCCATGATTGCAACTTTAGATCACCCCTGATTAAGACACTAGACTGGAGTGTCGAAACGTTAGGTCTTGATTACAATTCGACTGGGCTTTGTAATCACTTATTTAAACCAGAGTGACGAGCGAAAAATGATTGATATACCTGGTTGCAGTCAATGCAGTGAACGAACAAACTTTACAACCAGGAGCAGTTGCGATTGCGAAATATGCAACTATAAGCGACAACTGTCTCTCTATAGCTCAGGATCTCTGTAGCACAGGACCGCATGTTCGATCTCTGTAGCACAGGGGTGCATGTTCAATCTCTGTAGCACAGGGGCGCATGTTCAATCTCTGTAGCACAGGGGTGCATGTTCAATCTCTGTAGCACAGGGGCGCATGTTCAATCTCTGTAGCACAGGGGTGCATGTTCAATCTCTGTAGCACAGGGGTGCATGTTCAATCTCTGTAGCACAGGGGTGCATGTTCAATCTCTGTAGCACAGGGGTGCATGTTCAATCTCTGTAGCACAGGGGTGCATGTTCAATCTCTGTAGCACAGGGGCGCATGTTCAATCTCTGTAGCACAGGGGCGCATGTTCAATCTCTGTTGCTCAGGGGCGCATGTTCAATCTCTGTTGCTCAGGGGCGCATGTTCAATCTCTGTTGCTCAGGGGCGCATGTTCAATCTCTGTAGCACAGGGGCGCATGTTCAATCTCTGTAGCACAGGG